ACCAGTTTTATTAAGTAAGGACTTGTGTTGCTAAAGTTTCGTTGGAACGAAGTTACGGAAAGTTAATTAACAAACGGAGATGTAACAGTTACATAACTATTATGTAATAGACACTACAGGGCATACCACTTTATCACACCGTTGTCCTTTAAGTTACAGTTATAAAAACTTATGTTAATATATTATAGAGCCCATGGTGTCTAGTAGGGGTGAAAGGAATATTATCTATTCTTGAATTAGTTTTGTGATCATCAATAATTTTTTTACAGTAAATAGGTGTACAATGTGGAGTCTCTTGTCCTTGCAGTGTCTATTTACGTCAGTGCAAAGAAAAAAATTAGGTCATCCTCGGCGTGTACCCCAGTGATCTCAGCAGTGAGTGATGTAGTTTCCCAAGTATAGTATACAAAGTCACAAAACTTATATTCAGTCTATACTAAAATCACGACGACTTTTTTGAGCTACAGTAACGTCTGAACACATAGCAATATGACTGATAACATTTCTTTACTGGCCCTTTACTACAGATTTCCAGTGAGAAGAAACATAACTGCATTTGGTTTTTACACATTTTGCGATGCACACCGTTACTGACGGGACTCTTCATCCAGTACCAGAGCTTGTTGGGTCAGTTGGAAAGGTAACAAAGTATCAGTTAAAATATTATTTATATCAGTCATTAACGTTATATCAATCATAAGGTATTTAACTTTAGGTGGTGCAGCATTCCCAACTAACCCAACGAGCTCTGATAATGGGCAAGAGATCCTATCAGCAACAGCATGCATTGCAATGTGCATGCAGTCCAGATGCTATTACGTTTCTCCTCGTTGGAAACCTGTAGTAAAGGGTCAATAAAGAAATATTATATGTGTTCGGACATTACTGTAACTGAAGAAAGCGTCATACATTTAATGTAGACTGAACATAAGTTTTTCCTGACTATACGTGGGAAACTATGTCACCTACCTTTGGAGTAATTTCTTATACTTTATGGACCCTCAGCCACGTACTGGACATGAGATCTCGAGGCTACCATCGAACACGGGTACCTGAATTTTTTTTAGTTTCACCTATAGAAATAGACACTACAAAGGCAAGAGGCTCTGCCTTGTATACCTATTTACTGTCAAAAGAATGTTTTTATTGATGGTCGTAAAACTACTTCAAGAGTAGATAACATTCATCTCGTCCATGCTAGACACCATTGGCTCCTTATTATATGAACATAAGTTTTTATGACTGTAACTTATGGGAGAACCATGTGATAACGTGTTATGACTGTTTCAGTTTAATGCAAGCATTATGATTAGATAGCTTATATAGCGTGGATGTCATACTTAGTTACTTTTAGAAGTGATATTTTATGGTAAGTTTGTTTATGTAAGTGTTTACGAATCATACACTGTGTAGTTTAACTGCCATGAATTAGCGATTGTTTACAAGAGTGAGATTACTGGGTCGTGTTACTAAAACTTTCTTAGTCTCTAATTGGTTTAATTGGGTATTATTGCATCAAAATATCTAGTATTGCGTGGAATGTTCTAGGCTTCTGTCGGGGTGTAAATACGCATAAAAAATCGTTATTTAGTTCTAGTTCTAGTTTAGCAATAAAGAGTGTATAGTGGCGGTTTTTAAAGTAAAATTATCACAGACTGTATTATAATCACAGATTAGAGAAGAAGAATTCGGCTTGTCAATTGTGTTCTAAAATAACTGAACCAGCCTGTGTGGTTTTTGACGAAAAAGAGACAATTATTTAAAGCTTAGGATACAACTGTGGTAACCAACAGTGTAACGAACATTTGTAATCACGTTTGATTTGTTTTTAATATATTATTTTAAAACAAGCAGATTGTATTGCTTTTTGTTTATAGTTGAAATTTGTTGCCAACAAGTCACATACATCTACTGTAAAGAATCTGGCCTTACAAAACCTGACAGCAAAACCTGATAATGACCTTATTATACTTCTGTTGCTACAATGAACTTTACTAATTTTCGTAAATATTATAACAATTACGTTTATATTTAACATGTAGAAACTAAAACTGTATTATCATGTTATACTTTAGGAATAATACTAACTTAATCATAATAAGCATGATCTGTGAC